CCTGCACACCCTCTACACTAGAGTCTGTAACTACGATCTACCTTCTGCATTGGAGCCTGTGACGTTGGGCCGTGTGCAGAGGGTCCCCTCTCGGACGCTCTGTACAAGGGACAGTTAGACGGAGGAAGGCCTCCTGCTGGGCGCGGGTGGTCCCTGCCCAGGAGCCCGGCTTAGAGGCTGGTTCCAACCACGTCCGACTTCCCGTGGCTGCTCTGTGCCGTCCACCCCCTGCGCCCGCACCAGTGTCCTGGACGACGGGAGTGAGACGGACATGCAGCCCCCTCCTCACTGCACACCGCCAGGTCGACATGGGCATTGAGGTCAATGAGACCATCCGATCTCACATCTCGGCCACCTCGGCAGCGGCGTGTGCAAACGAGACGGTTCTCTGCCCGCCCGCAGAGCGCTTGTCCCGCCAGCGCCGGGGACCAGGGGTGACAGACACCGTGTGCGTCCCCAGAGCCCTCCGCCACACCGGCCCCAGCCCACACGCAGGCATCGGAACGTCCTGCCAGGCTGTGCCTGCTTCGTCGGCCCAGGAATAGACTCTGTCTGTCCGAGAGCGGCCAGTGGTGGAGAAACTGTCCCCAAATTTATCTGAATCCAAACAAAAAGGCTTTGCAATTTGGGCTTCCTTTACCCACCATTCTTTATAGATAATATTGGAGTTAATATTTAGACTATCCATGAGAAAAAAAAAAGATTTCCAAAGAAACAAGAATTATAGTATGAATACAGTCCAATGAGGAATATTTTACCAACTTAATCAAGTGAACAACCCCAAATGGCCTATTATTAGAGTGCTAACTACAAATGAATTTGATCCGCTCCGCTTGACAATGTCCGTCATTAGTTAGGATTATGTTAGTCACTACTTTTGATTATAAGAATTTAGACAAAACTGGATTGCCTCTCATAAAGAACAGTCTCAAACATCTGTGGTACTTTCAACAATAATAAAAAAAAACATAAAAATACTTGAAACCATTACAAGCATCCTCCCTGGGGTCAAAACAGCAGCATTTAGAGAGAATGTGTTATGTGATGGTGCATCCACGTGTCACCTCAGCTCGTGGACGTGTCACCTCAGCTCGTGGACGTGTCACCCCAGCTCGTGGACGTGTCACCTCAGCTCGTGGACGTGTCACCTCAGCTCGCGGTCTCGAGGTGCCCTCCCCTGGCTGTGTTCGTCAGGCTTGCAGATGGACTCCACCGCCACGTGGGAGGAGGCGGTCAGTACACTAATACAGATGTTAACCTTTTGATGTCCATGGTCACTACCCAGTCCCAAACTACCAGTCGGAATGACCTTGAGTTTTAACTTAGTTTCCACAAAGCACACATCTGGGTAGCACGTTTCTTTCTTCCTGTGTTATTGATCCTTATAACTCCAGCAATAATGTGCATTCTGATGGGTCAACCCCACGTCGAGCTCACCTCTCCTCACAGTGCGGCCCACGGGGGTGGGGGGCCCTTCTCAGAGAGCGTGGCATTTTCATGACCTGAGAGCCACCTAAGGCAGTCAAGGCACAAGCACGTTTTCTGACAAGACACATGGTCACAGCAGAGGTGATGCCGTTGCCGTTGTATCTTGAAAAGGATGAACATCTGGAGAACGCATAACTCAGTGAATTATTGGCCAGTGGCCCACAGATGATGGTACACACCAGGTGTGTATAAAGCATCGGTTTGAGATGGAAGCTACTCATGAACGTATTTTAGTGTAAGGAAGCAGAAAATGTTTATTGTCATGATTTCATCTTCCACAACGCAGGTACCATTTAAGAAGATATCATTTGTCTAGACATGGAGGCAGGGGACAGACTGACAGACTGACAGATCTCAGAGGGCGGGCGGGCAGGAAGAGAATAACCAAATAACTTATATGCATATACACATAGCCCGTGGACACAGACAATAGTGCGGTGAGATCCTGGGGAGTGCTGGGAGCAGGAGGTAAAGGGGGGACATGAGGGGACATCTTGAATACTTCTCAACAATGAGATACATTTTTTTAAAAAAAAGAAAAAGAAAATATCATTTGTCAATTTTTATGATAGCATTAAAAATAAGCTTAATTATTTGAAAAGGCATTTAAAATTTTTTTTTCTTTTCAAAAAAGATTTAACCAGTCCTGGCCAGACAGCTCCCAGTTGAATAGAGTGCTCTCTCCATGTGCCAACATTTCAGGTTCGATTCACCTGCCAGGGCACATACAAGAACCAACCAATGAATGCTTAAATAAGGAATAGCAAATCAATCTCAATCTCTCTCTCTCTCTCTCTCTGCCTTCTTCACTCTTTCTAAAATCAATCAATAGACATTTTTAAAAACAGATATAAGAGTCCATACATAGCATCAGCAAAGAGGGCTGGGTGTCTATGCTAATACGAGGCAGAGTTGACTTTAGAGCAAGGCTACCAAGAATAAAGAGGGTACGTTATAGTATCAAAGATAGAATTTCTTAAAAAGAGAGCAATTTTAAACATGCATGCACCTAATAACATAGCTTCAACATCCATGAAGGAAAAAAACAGATAAAACTACAATGAGAGACAGACAAATCCACAGTTGTAGCAGATTTCATACACCTCGCTCAGCAACAAAGTGAGAGGCAAGAACATCAGGAAGATATTGAAGACTTGAACAGCTCCATTAACCGCTTGATCTGATTGACATTTGTACCAAACTCCACCCACATATGACATAATGCATGTTATTTTCCAGGTACATGACATTTTTCCAAGAAAGAGTACTTGTAGGCCGGAAAACAATGATCAATGCATTCAAAAGGGTTTAAGTAATATAAAGTATGTTTTCTGAGCACGAAGATCCTTGGAAAAATCCGTAGAAATGTGAGTTAAGTCACACAGTTATCAGAAGAAAGAAAAGAATGAAAGACCAAAGCAGAAATCAGTGGAATACAAGACAAGTGAATCCTACAGAAAAAATTCAGTGAAAACAAGTGTGTGTGTGTGTGTGTGTATGTGCGTTTTAGAAGATCAATATATTGGCATTCTCTAGTCTGATGAATCAAGTACAAGAGAAAACCGAAATTACCAATATCAGGAATTAGAACTGTGATATCATTAATGATGCAAAGGATGAGAGGGAAATATTATGAATAACTTTATGCCATTAACTTTGACAACGTAGAAAAAGTTAAAAATTTCCTTGAGCCCTGGCCGGTTTGGCTCAGCGGTTAGAGCGTCGGCCTGCGGTCCTGAGAGACCTGGGTTCGGTTCCCGCTAAGGGCATGTACCTCGGTTGCAGTTTGTCCCCGGCCCTGGTCGGTTGTGCGGGTGGCAGCCACTCGATGTGTCCCTTTCACATCGATGTTTCTCTCTCTCTCTCTGTTCCTCTCTCTCCCCCCCACTCTACCTGAACAAAAAATGGAAAAATGTCCTCGGGTGAGGATAAAAAAAAAAAAAAAAAAAATTTCCTTGAAAATACAACCTGTCCAAGCTCACGCAGGTAGAGACATATAACCTAAGTAGGCCTATACACAGAGATGAAGTTGAAAGAGTAATTTGAAAACTTTCTCATAAGAAGACTTTAATTTCAGATGGCTTCCTAAATGAATCTCCCTAGATTTTAATAAGAAACGATGACCAATTCTATACAAACATTTCCAGGCTATTCAAGAAGAGAGAGTACTTCTTAATTAATTTTATGAGACCTTGATAGCAAAACTAGATCAAGTCATTACAAGAAAAGTCTCAAGGTCAATATCTTTTGAGAACGTATTTGCAGTCTAAGAGTCAATCAAATCAGATCCAACGGTATATTAAACAATAATAATATTTCAAAGCCAAATTAATTTTACCTCAGAATGCAAAGCCAGGAAATCAATGTAATTCACAATAACAAACTCAGTAGACAAAAAGATCATATCCACAGATGTACAAAAGCTTCCGACAAGATTTTATATCCATTTCTGATTAAAAACTCCCAACGAACCCAAAACAAAGAGTTCTTCCTCAACCTGACAAAGAAATCCATGAAAAATTGAAATGAATGTCGCTCTTAAAGATGAAAGCTAGAATGCTTCTCTCCTAAGACCAGGAATAAGGTGAGACTGTCTCACCACTTCTATTCAACCATGTAATTGAGGTTCTAGCCAGTGTCTTCAGGCAAAGAAAGGAAATAAAAGACATTCAGATTTGTAAGACAACATCCGAACTGCCTTGAATTGCACTTGGCAGTGTCATCGAGGGAGAAAGTCTTCTCCCTGCTCTGAAGTATCACTGTTTTGTATCAATTGTTAGCTCGGTTCATAGCCTAACCTCTCAACACATGTCTTTTACTTTCCCTCTCAAGAGCCAGTGAGATTATAAGAAAGAAAAAAAAATGCTTTTTTTTGGCTCCCTTTTGCTGTTTGATCTGAAGCTTTCTCCTAATATGACTTTCCATCTTGAATCATTTGGCAAAGGTTTAAGTTTCTTGAACTAAATAAAATAAATGCAAATATCCAAAGAAACAGCACTTTTACCACGACCACGCTCATAATGGAATAAGTGGAAAGCTGTCTCCAGGTCATCATGACCCTCGTCAACTGAATCATAACATTTCGAAATAAAGTGTACTGACTGCCACTTACCTTCATTAATGTGAAAGCTCACTAATGAAATAATTATGCAGCTATAGTTACATTTTTGGCCCATCTATTTTTTCACACATTAACCAAAATGCATTAGGATGCATTAGGCTATTAGCAGTTCACAAATTAACACAGATCAAAAAAAAACAACCTGGAGATTCATTTTGATTATATACATTTTGAGTTAAATTTTTAATATTGGGTCATACAGTGAACATGGTCAGCTCTAGAGTATCTGGACATTTTCAGCACAAATTTAAATTTCTATAAATAATATAGCTGCCTAATAACCGAGGAGTTGTATCTTTAAGTCAAAAGGAAAGAAGGTTTCAAAAGGACAAGCTCAGATTTCGTGCATTAGAAAGTGACATGCTTTTCGATTCGTGACGTTGCCTCCTACCTGAAGTCGGATCCTGCTCTTCGCCCGTACTCTGGCACCCCGGGGTCTGGGCACATGTCGGAGACCAAGGCTACACCTCCTTGGCTCACTACAACACAACAGAGAGAAATACCATTATAGCTTTGTGTAGCTGTTGGGGAAATACCCAGAGAATAAATTCGTGTTAGGCAGATTTGGTTCTCAAATTACGACTTAAAATATGATTTCTTTAAGAATGAAGACAATTAAGCTACATTAAAATAAATTGTTATTCTTATTCCTGAAAAACAAAGACTCCTTATCCAGACATTCTTTGGTCCGGACCCTTCTTCTATTGAAGAGGTCAACATGTAATTAAAAAAACACATGCATGTTCTCATTGTGATCGGTTTTATGGCAGGTTACAATGAATAGCATGACAAGAAGAGAGAGATGCCTGGTGAAAATGTCTAAGTTTATACAGAAGGAAGACTTCATTCATTCCCCATGAACAAAATAATGATGCTGTTGATCTACTAAGCCCTAGACAAGAGATGTTTTCCATAAAAAGCTATTATATTTTAAACATTAAACATGCTCCTCATTGAACTGAAGGAGGCGCTGGTTCCCGTGCACAGGTGTGCTCAGGTACCTCCTGGCTGAGCCATGAAGGCCTCCTCCTGGGGGTGCTGTCCATCACAGAGGAGTTTCTGAAGGACTCATTTGCTTACTAGATTGACTGGCTGCCGCGTAACGCTTACTCTATCCTACTTATTTATTTATTTTACTTATTGATTTTAGAGAGAGGAAGGGAGTGGGAGGGAGAGATAGAAACATTGAGGAGAGAGAACATGGACTGGACGCCTCCTGCATGTCCCCCACTGGGGATCGGCCCACAACCCGGGCATGTGCCCTGACCGGGAATCGAACCAGCGACCGCTTGGTGCAGGGTCGACGCGCAACCACTGAGCCACGCCGGCCGGGCGTCACTGCAGTGTATTTCATGTGTCTGCTCTAACCAGGAAAGAGTAAGAGAAGGTGATCTGGTAGCTCCCAGAGACGCCTTCCCAGAAGCACCACTGCCCACTTTCTCCAAAGTCTCGGTGGACGGTTGAGTCACAAGACAAAGACAAAGACAAAGACCGAGTGAGTCTCTGGGAAGAAGGACGGAGCTGCCTTTTCTCCGTGTCCTTTAAAAACAGCCCAGGAAGGTGAGCAGTGAGGTCAGCAAGGTGTCAGAGTAGGGGCCGCCAAGCCCTCTTTCCCTTGTGCAAACTTCCGATGAACAACTCCGACGGAAACAGCTTTGCAAGAGCTCTGGAAACATCCAAAGACCCGGAGTAACCAAGCAAACGCCCACGGAGGAAAAACCCACATTCACAATGGCAGAAAGGGTCTGGGATTTCTCACGTGCCCTCGCCTCACATCTCCCCTGGAATGTCACGGTGCAGCTGGGAGGGAGCAGTCTCTTTCTTCTCCTTTTTATTAATGAGGGTTGTAGAAGCCACGAGGACCTTGTCTGGCATGTGCCGGCCTGTGGGCTGCCTGAAGGGTTGGCTTCTGCCTTGTGTGACCTGAGCTCAGAGGGGCGAGGGCACTGGCTGCCGGGAAACTGCCTGGTGGCCGCAGCTGCATTGAACTTGTGCACAGCGGCCCTGGCAGGTTTGGCTCAGCGATTAGAGCGTCAGCCCACAGACCAAGAGTCGCTGGTTCGACTCCGGCCTCAGTTGTGGTTCAGTCTCTGGCCCTGGTTGAGGTTGTGCGGGAGGCAACCAGTCGATGTGTCTCTCTCACATCGATGATTCTCTCTCTCTTTCTCTCTCCCCCTCCTACTCTACCTGAAGATAAAATGGAAAGGTATCCTCAGGTGAGGATTAAAAATATTAATAACGAAATAAAACGTGCCAGGACCCAGCCGTGTGAAAAGCTGGGGCAAGAACCTGTGGGCAGAGGGCAGCAGTAGAACCTCTGAGACCCTGAGAGGGAGCCAGGGTCAGGCTCTTTGGGAAATTAAGATATTTTAAAGCATCCGGGGGCGGGTGAGGGGAGAACCCCAGACCAGGACAGGACACATGCCCAGGAACGACCTGGGAAGATCTCACGTCATTGTTTCAGGCTGACCCAGGCCCAGGGACGACCGGTCAGCGAAGGCCCCTCCGTGCCAGTCCGCGGACGGGAGGGCCAGCCGTGCCCTCTGTGCTCAGTCTACGGCACGTACCGCGAGGCGCACAGGGAAGCAGGGGAGCGTGGCCGAGCCAAAGACCGCAGTCCGTCTCCAGAAAGGTCCCCACAGAAACATGCATCACGCTTACTCCACAGAGGTTGTAAAACAACCGTCTTCGGTGTGAATTTGAGTACCTAATGGCTCAACACTTAAAATTTTAGGAAAGATATAGTTGTACAAATTCAAGGAGCTCAACAAACTCCAGGCAGGACAACTCAGAGACCCACAAAGACAAAGACCAAGGATCCGGAGGGCAGAACGAGAAACAGAACTCATCACAACAAGGGGTTCCCAATAAAACCATCAGTAGCTTTCTCAGCAAGTACCTTGTAGCTCAGAAGACAGTGGGGTGAAGTCTTAAACTGCTGAAAGAAAAACACTGTCAACGGAGAATTCCATATCTAGTAAAATGGTCCTTCAGAAATGAGGGAAACATTAAGTCATCACCAAACAAATGCCACTCTACCTACCCTACAAGCAATGCTAAAGGGAATTCTTCAGGTCGAAGTCACAGGACACTGGATAGCAACTCAAAACCATATGGAAATACAGTGTTCTCCGGGTAAAGTAAATACAGGGAGAACTATTTTAAAAAACAGACTACTTTTTAATTTTGATTTGCAGCTGCATATTTTTATTTCCTGCAAAATTTAAATACAAAGAATACACAGAATTATAAACCTTTGTTAACAGGTGCACAACAGAGATGCAATAGTATAGAGCGTTGGGAAGGCTTTAAGAGGGAACTGTCTGCATGTGTAATCTCCACGGCGACCACAAAGACAGCATCTCTAGAATATACACAGAAGGAAATGAGAAGGAGAATCACAAGGGGTGACTGTGAAAATCAACTAAACACAGAGGGAAAAGTGATGAGACACAAAACACAGATGCATCAGTGAAAGAAAGCTCTTTCTCCTCTCTAGTTACTTCAGGTGTGCATGGCAGCGACTCTCTGCGCGGGTTCAATTATGCCCTCCAAACTGCGGATGTTGAAGCCCTACCCCTCAATACCCCAGAATTTGGCGGCCTTTGGAAATAGGATCTTGGAAGTAGTGATTCAATTAAAACGAGGTCATTAGAAATTAAAACGAGGTCATTAGAAATTAAAACGAGGTCATTAGAATGGGCCCCGATCCCACAGGACAGGTGGTCTTGCAAGGGGAGGAGACAAGGACACACACGCACGGGTGGAGGACCCCGCGGGGACTGGGGAGGGCGGCGTCTGAAAGCCAAGGGGATGGCTCCGGGTTGGATGACCCTACCGACCCTTGCGCTTGGGCGTCCAGCCTCCAGAACTGTGAGACAGTGAAACCCCCTTCTTGACTCTGGCCCAGGCAGCATTAGCTGAGCAACACACTCACCGGTCGAAGGCACCCGTTGGCAGAATGGATTTAAATGTACATATACACCGTCGTATGCAGAACCACACGCCCTCTACGGGAGACTCACATTAGATCTAAGGACACAGCGAGGCTGACATGAAAAGTAGCCACGTTCCGAGCCAGAACAGAGCGGGGCGGTTGCCAGCAGCCTGCGCAGAAAGGCCAGGATTCCTCTTGGCAGGTTCAGAGCCTCGGTCGGGGGAGGTGAAAACACTCTGGAGATGATGCTGGTGCTGGATGCACCGGAATGTGAATGTACTTTAATGCCACAAAACTGTACAGGCCAAACAGTTAAAATGGGAACGTCTATGTTCTGCGCATCTTACACTGTGTGTGTGCGCGCGTGCGAACCATCCTTCATCTGTAGGCATCACCAAGTCCACTTCCGTCAGTCCCAGTTCTACAGAGGTGTCCCTGACCCCTTCTCAGCCTGTGCCACTTCCCGATCCTGGGCAGTGGCCTACCGATGTCTCCAACACCCATCTAAAGGGTTTCCAGTTCTCCTTGCTTAAACGGCGATGCAGAATGGTCCTTCCTCCCGCCCTCACGGCTGTCTCTCCATTCCCCGCGAGGGCCTGTGCCTGTGCCCGCCGCGGGCTGCTGTGTGTCTCACGCCACGCTCTGCGGCCCCACGAGGGACAGCCCACGAGGGACAGCCCCACGAGGGACAGCCCACGAGGGACAGCCCCACGAGGGACAGCCCACGAGGGACAGCCCACGAGGGACGGCCCCACGAGGGACGGCCCCACAGGTCTGCCTGCGCTGCCCGTTCGGTTTCTCACCAGGGAATAGTAGCAAAGAGAGACGAGCGAAATTGGAGGCACTCATCCAAGTCAGATCAAAACACTCTAGATCTTTTTAAAGATAATGTCAAAGTGGCACATTTATTCAAGACAGGGTGCTTGCTGAAATTCTTCGAGAGCACAGAGTGAATGAGAATGAGCCTGAATGCCTCGCAGATGGCGGAGAAGTGATGAGGGTTTAAATGTGAAAAACAGACACGGATAACAATACAGTGATCACCAGAGGGAAGGGGCGCGGGAGCGGGCAGAGGATAAAGTGAGGTTCCGTGGTGCCGGAGAGACTCGCCGTGGGGTGGTGAACACACAGTATAATATGTAGATGATGTATTACAGGACTGTATGCCTCATTTTTATTTTATATTTTTCTAATGGTGCTTTATTATTATTATTAATAATAATCCTCACCCGAGGACATTTTTGCATTTATCTTCAGATAGAGCAGGAGGGAGAGAGGGAGGAAGAGAGAGAAAGAAACATCAATGTGAGAGAGACACATTGAGTGGCTGCCACCCACACGACCCCAACCGGGGCCAGGGACAAACTGCAACCAAGGTACATGCCCTTAGCGGGAACCGAACCCGGGACTCTCTTGTCTGAGGGTCGATGCTCTAACTGCTGAGCCAAACCGGCCAGGACAAGATTGTATACCGTAAACTTATATAATTCTATTAACCGATGTCACCCCAATAAATTCAATAAAATTTTTTATAAATCTGCC